TAAACTCCTCATAACTCAATCTCTGTTCACCGATTATGCGTTTCAGGTGATATTTTAGACTTTTGGCGGCCGCCTCCCATAACCCGCCTGCGGAGGGCCAGGAAGGGGCGTTAAAATGCCACTGTATGTGCATGTCTGCGATCTCTTGCATAAACTCTGAATTATCTTGGTTGATGGTCGATATAATTTATTGGTATTCTTGTATTAGGACTCTGCTTGCCCCAACGAAGTTGGTGCCGATATCACTATAAATGTGATTTGGCGTTCCCCGTCTGGCAGCCATCTTCTTCAGAGCCGCTAAGAATGATGACGTTGTTAGGTCCGATACTAGTTCTAAGTACATGGCCTTGGTAGCCATGCACACTTCACTACTTTTGATCATGATGAAGCCGGATAATCCAATACTGTGTGAGAAAACGGGCGAGACGGGTTACTTTTGGCACATGGTAGGTCACCCATGAGTTGATGCTGCATGCGTTTTTCAAACCGCTTGCATCTCACACTTTGTCGTAAGCGCTTTTTAGTGGCCCTGTTGCCCCCTACGATCCAGTACTGCTGACGAATAAATGAATCTGTTAGTCTTGGTTCCCTGTGAAATATAAGAAATGGAATGATGATTGAGAGCTTCATTTCCATGCTTATCTGCACGTTTCTCAGTCTACCGCCAACTCTTAGAACGCCTTCTCCATCTAAATAAGGGTCCATTTACTATCTTGCTCTTGGTATTTACGTTCTATTTTACTTTGAGATCCTCTATCTCTTGCGAAAACTCTACTTGTTGAACGTGCATGATTATTCTTTGCTTTGATCCTCTGACTTTTGGTGGTATTATATAGTTGTTCGTGATATGAAAAATTCCTTGGACCTCACTGTCGAAGTCCCGGTGCAGACTGTCGATAGCTGACCTTCGCGACAGCAAAGAGCTGAGGAGATCTGCTAGCTCCCATTTCTCCGTCACATCGTCAAGATTTATGTTAGAAACTGTCCTTTTAAATGCTCTAAAGTTGCTTGATTTCTTCTTGAATAATTCATCTGTCTTGCTGTTGGTTCCGCGGGACTCCGTTCTAAACGAGTGTTGAGCTTCTAAACTTGGTGGTGTGAAAAGTGGTTGGTTCCGACTTCGGTAAGTAGGTACGCTTTTATTGTAGCTGTTCTATTCTCATAATTGGCCTTGGTTTTTTTCGTACGTATTATTAGTAAAATAGGCATGGGACTTGTCTGGAAAAGCGCACAATTCAACATGTATATTATGGAATATATCTTCGATTGATATAGTCAGATGTCTTTCGCTCTTAACCATGTTTCTTGAAATTTTCAAATTTTTGATTAATGCCATCGATAACTTATTGTTGATTTCCTAGGAAATATTCCATGCTTTACATTACTTGGTGTTACTTGGTAAAGGTGTTGATACATATAAAGTTTTAACCTTGGTAAAAAAATCACTTACTTGTTTTTGAAAAATACCTTGTATTTGTATATTTTGTATATTTGTTTCGTATATTGTGAAATCCTTCTTGGTGTGCTTGATAAGTGCTTGGAGAGTGCTTGCTTGGTGAACGCTTGTCGAGTGCTTGCTTGGTGTGGTTGGTGAATTCTTGCTTGTGGTATACTTGATATTCTTGGTCTTGTGCTTGGTATTGTTACTGGTTCTCAGTATATTTGCAGACTCTCAGTACACGTAGAGCGCCGTCTGAATTCAGCTGGTGGACCCGTTGGTGGGAGGCCAACCGAACCGATCGCAGTGCACTTGAAGTCCACAAAAACTCCCTTTTTTATCTGATGGTGTATGATTTAAACACCATCTTGAAAAAAAAAATAAAGATTTATTGAGATTTCACAATATACTCAATTGGGTAAATATATAAGGTTGGGTTTCGCAACCGTATTGGTAGGCAAACTCCAAAGCATTAAAAAAGTAAAATATTAATGAATGGGGTCAGTCGCGCTTAGTGTCTAATTAGCTAGTTACTGAAATGTCGACGCGGGAGATTCGATCGGGCTTAATCGATTGCGATGAAACTTAACTAACAATAGGGAGCAATGCCAAGAGAGATCTAAGTTATATTTTATTCGAAAAACTATTATTTTTGAAATTACTAAGTTGATAAAACAAATAGTCTTTCATCTAAATAACGCCACATGAATAGATCGTACACAGGTGACGCCGCGGCTCGTCGCTAGTTTCTTATTATATTTACACCGCTACCGAGGATCTATCTCAATCAGCTTTGAAGCAATGAAGTTTAGAACGAGCTTACTAATGAAATCTGTCTCAGCTATATTAAAATATTGTGACGTTAATTGAAGCGTCTTTCCCAGCTATAATGTTAATCTAAATAAATATATTGCCTTTGAAAGGCAAAAAGTCTACAACCTCTCGCAGTTGGCGCTTGTACAAGCTATGGCGTAGCTTTTTTGATATATTATAGCCCAAATAATCAAACGCTAATTATTTTTGAAACGCCGTAAACTTTGGTAGTGGCACACTTTGACTTGACTTAAATAACTTTTTAAAGTTGCTGAGATTAGCTAGCTGAGTTTTTTTTTTGAGTTTTATTGTTAACCATGCTCTGCTTTATTATTTCTATATATTTTTTTAACAGGCGTTAATAGAAGAATGGCTACAGCAGTATTAAATTTTCAGGAACGACAATATTTTCAAAGCGATTGTTAAGATGAAAATTTTTATTATCTCCGTATATCTTTAACCTCTCTATTCTTTAAAGTATTTGTGTCGTTTGATTTTATAAGCCTTTGCCTGAAGACTGTGCTTTGAGTGCGAATATTTATTTTGCAATGCGAATGTTCTTTAACTTTTTAGTCTTATAATCGGAAACGACATTTTTCTATGATACAACATTAAATATTGGAATAGAATTGATTAGTATTTCATTAAATGTAGAATAAATGCTAGAACTTGGGCATAGCACGCACTGTTTTAGGATTGACTGAAAACGCGAAACCTCATACGACCACGCACTGCGGCTGGCGTTTTTCTTAGTTTTATTTCAGTACCACCATGGATTTCTGTCGAGTAGCGTGTGTTGTGGTTTTGGTACTGGGTACATCCACTAACAGATCAAAGACATCTGAAAGGATACTCTTGCAAAATGTACAAAGACGTGCGACAACATCCCGATAAGTTTTTTAATTACTAAAGAATGTCGATTCTCGAATGTCGATTCTCGAATGTCGATTCTCGAATGTCGATTGTCAAAGACACTGCATTTGGTAAGACGATATCACCCGAAGAGCGAATTTCAGTTACGTTAAGGTAAGGAAACAATTTTTAATTATTTAGTAAACCTTTATTTCAAACTGTTGAACAGGGCAAATTAAAAAGTAAAATAATAAGTAATTACTCAGTAATGTTTTTTGTTTTTCATCTTGTTGTCTTGGTCTTCCATTAAATGATTTCCAAATTGTGAAAAAATAATTGGCAGCCGAAATGGTTGCCCTTAAAATTTGTTGGTCTATAATTTGCACATGATTTTGTGGCGCTGGTATAGGCGATGCCTGCAGCATCGCAGTTGGCGGCTGTGGAGATGGGCTTGGTGGAGGCAGAGTTGATTATGGTGATTGGACAGAATATATTGTATCTACAGATGAGGATTGTGAATAATGATATTGATAAGTTTTCTGTGGCTGGATACATGTTTGATGGTACATTGGTGAACTAAATATTCTTGGTCCTCGAAATTGAGATGGTTGGTTCAAAATGTGTTGCGATGATAGGGGAGATGAATGAGTACGCATTGTTTTTGAGTCATTAAATATTTCAATCTTAGCATAATGCTTTTGATCTTCATTTAATTTACGTAACATAGGAACTAACATCAGCGCAAAGTTTTATTTTTCGTAGCCGTTGCTTCCTATACCTATAATTTGTCTTTTAATATGTTAAGTAATTGTTTTTCATAATCTGTTGAATTGTCGTCTCGAGAACAGTTCCTCTTTCGTGGTGATAATCTGTTGTTATTAGTGGGTTGTAAAACAGAATTCTAGAAACCAGCTCAAAAGCTGCAATAGACAATGTTATATTATACTGAGTATAAAACGGCGACAGTACATTACTGCTCGTTTCTCGTTTCTGCATAGACGGAGTTAGAAAAATCGTTGAATCGAAATGGTCATATTTCTTTTTCTTCAAAGGAGCAGCTTGTCCAGATTAGCCTTGTTGTGCTGCCATTCCCTTACCAAAATAATCTTTCATGTTTTTCCATTTTTTGTATGGGGTTTTTTGAAAACAAATAAAGAGAATCAATATCTTGTTTACAGGCATCATGCTACGAGAAATAGTACAAAGTCGTTGTACTTTGAAAACTTGATTGACGCTACGACTATTCATGTAGTTATAATTGTAGCCTATTTCTTTAAAAGAAATAACTAAAGAACAGGGGCGAGTCTATACATATATCTCGGCTTTTTGGGCTGAATTCCAGGGCCTCATGGGTATAAAGGTTCCCCAGCCCCAGTAAAGACAACACCTGATTAAAACTACTTTTACGGATTTTATCGCGTTTATTTTTACTTTTTATTTACTTTTATTTTTAATTCCCGACGTTTCGGGCGCTTTCCAGCACCCATGGTCACGGGGGACTGAGATGACTGACGTCCCGATGTCATTGTTAAACCCGGAGTACCTTCAGCTTTTTTAATTATTGTTTATGGTCCGATTAATGCAAAATGAACTGACTACGTCCTGAGGTCTTGCAGTGGTATGCTTGGGTTTAGTTTTAATATTATTGATTATAGGATCCCAAGCAGGTGGTAGTACCCAGCCTCCTTCTCTATTGAAATTAGGATGTTTTTTAATTTCAATAGCCTCACGTATCATCCTTGGTAGGAATCGGTGTTCTTTCGCGAGGATTTGTGGTCTATCAAATCTGATGTAATGGTTGGGTCCGTCGAGGATATGATAACTCAGACTCAATGATTCATAGCTATATTTCTTTACGCGGGTCATAATTATCTTTTTTTGTCTAAGAGAAATTAAATCAAGCTAGCACTCTACTAAGCACTCCTGCATCTTGTAGAGGAATATGACACTTGACAGATGGTAGCAACTGACTAATCTTCTTCGGCGGCTTGTAGAATGTTCTAATAGAAGCTCGCTTCAAGATATAGCCAATCTTGTCTGTGACACCTCTGACATATGGTAGTACAGCAGGCACACGCTCGACTGTGGCCGGCTTCACTCGGTCACTGTGACGTAGGCGCGGGACCCGAAGCTTGTTGTCGTGCAGAACTTGCTTGACGTGCTGAAGCTCGGCGGCCAGGTGTTTGCTGTCGCAGATCCCTCGTGCTCTCTGTAACAAAGATTTGCCCACGGTAGCTAACTGTGAAGGATGGTGGTGAGATTCACCGTTTAAATATCGGTTTGTATGGGTCCTTTTCCTATACACAGTGTGACCAATGGTGTTATTAGGATTTCGGATGACTAACACATCTAGGAAAGGTAAGGAATTTTTTGCCTCTAACTCCATAGTAAATTGAATTTTAGAGTTTATGGAATTAAGATGTTCTAAAAATGCAGTTACTTTGTCTGATGGTAAAATTTTGAAAGTATCGTCTACGTACCGCTTGTAGATCCTTGTATACAATAGATATCTACAATAGATAAATACTCCTCTACAAGATGCAGGAGTGTACAAGCTTGATTGTGAATGTGGTCTCTCTTATATAGGACAAACAAAAAGATCAATTAGGACCCGCGTAAAAGAACATATAGCTGATGTGAAGCATCAACGTTCCGGGAAGTCTGCAGTTTGTGATCATATCCTCGACGGACCCAACCATTACATCAGATTTGATAGACCACAAATCCTCGCGAAAGAACACCGATTCCTACCAAGGATGATACGTGAGGCTATTGAAATTAAAAAAACATCCTAATTTCAATAGAGAAGGAGGCTGGGTACTACCACCTGCTTGGGATCCTATAATCAATAATATTAAAACTAAACCCAAGCATACCACTGCAAGACCTCAGGACATAGTCAGTTCATTTTGCATTAATCGGACCATAAACAATAATTAAAAAAGCTGAAGGTACTCCGGGTTTAACAATGACATCGGGACGTCAGTCATCTCAGTCCCCCGTGACCATGGGTGCTGGAAAGCGCCCGAAACTTCGGGAATTAAAAATAAAAGTAAATAAAAAGTAAAAATAAACGCGATAAAATCCGTAAAAGTAGTTTTAATCATGTATAGTGTTCGCGTATATATAAGAAATCATTAAGACAACACCTGTCAAAGTTTCAAAAATAATTATGATGATATTATAAAAATTTCACGACTTTTACTGGAAATAAGAATGAGTGAGTTAATTCTCAAAAAGAGGTAGGAAAAAGAGTTCGTGAGTAACATATGACACTAAAATGAAGCTGCAGTCTTCAACAGATTTAGCAGCATACAGGCAACTGAACAGACACATCTTCAAATACATGCTGCGGGACTTACGCAACTTCAGTACAGCTCGTATTGAAGAAGCGATCGAGCGGAACCAAGGATTCAAAGTATTTGTAAGAGATCTGCCTGTCAGAAAGAGCCAACTGTCGAAGCTGAATAACGAGTGTGGCAGCATCGTTTCCGGGACACCTGAGATTTTGAGTGAGATTGAGAGGTTCTATGGGCAGCTGTACACGTCATCGTCGGAGTCACACGCAAGTGTGAGTAGCGATCCAAGTGTAAATCCCGGACGTCAGTCTGAGCGAGATTAGAATGGTTCTCCAATACCTTAAAAACGGCAAGTCCCCGGGCGAGTATGGAATTACAGCGGAGCTTCTGAAAGCGGGTGGAAAACCGGTACTTGAAGTCCTTCAGAAGCTCTTTAATTCCATCCTTCATGGTGGCACTACTCCCGAGGCATGGAGCAGAAGTGCGGTGGTCTTGTTTTTCAAGAAAGGAGACAACGCTCTCTTGAAAAACTACAGACCGATATCCCTTCTGAGCCACGTCTACGTGCTGTTCTCGAGAGTTATTACGAATCGTCTCGCACGCAGACTTCAAGCCTCCCGAACAAGCCGGTTTCCGAAAAGGCTTTAGCACCATAGACCACATACATATCCTTTGGCAAATTGTACAGAAGTCCGAAGAGCACAATCCGCCACTTTGCCTGGCGTATGTGGACTATGAGAAAGCCTTTGATTCCGTCGAAATTTGGGCGGTGCTACAGGCCCTTCAGCGGCGCCAAGGGGACTGTCGGTATATCGAAGTGCTGAAGTGTTTGTACAGTAGGGCTACGATGGCTATCCGAGTACAGAACCAGAGTTCGAAGCCTATCCAACTGCAGAGAGGTGTAAGACAGGTTGACGTTATATCACCGAAACTCTTCACCGCTGCATTGGAAGACGTTTTCAAGCTACCGGACTGGAAAGGATACGGTATCAAAATCAATGGCGAGTACATCAGTCACCTTCGATTTGCCGACGATATAGTCATTATAGCAGAATCGCTGGAGGACCTAAACACTATACTCAATGACCTCAATAGTGTATCCCAACGGATAGGTCTTAAGATGAACATGAACAAAACAAAGATCATGTTTAATGTCCATGTCACACCTATGCCGGTAGTTGTTCTGAGCACTATGCTTGAAGTTGTTGACGAGTACGTTTACCTAGGACAAATAGTCAGCCTAGGTAAGTCCAACTTCGACCAAGAGGTCAATCGATGGATTCAACTCGGCTGGGCAGCGTTCGGGAAATTACGACACCTCTTTTCGTCAGCTATACCTCAAAACTTGAAAACGTTATTATACAACCAGTGCGTGTTGCCAGTGATGACCTATGGACCTGAGCCGTAAACTTAGAAATGAGGGTATCCGCAGTAGAACCAGAATGACCGACATGGTAAGCTGAAGTGGCAATGGGCCGGCCATATAGCTCGTAGAACCGACAACTGTTGGGGGAAAAAGGTTCTCGAGTGGCAGCCCTGTACTAGTAGGCGAAGTGTAGGGCGACCCCCCACTAGATGGAGTGACGACTTGGTAAGACATGCAGGAAGTCGATGGATGCATGTGGCTCAGGACCGTGCTTTGTGGCATACCTTGGGGGAGGCCTATGTTCGGCAGTGGACTTGTGAAGGGCTTTGATGATGATGATGATGATGATACGACACCAATCAGATCAAAAATTGAAGATATACGACGACAGAGCTATAAATTTTAGAGCTAGAGTGGGAGGAGAATACATTGGCATAAATAAAGAGGAGAGGAATTACTTCAAAATTTTCAGTTAAAGTCAAAAGAGTCAAAAAATTTAAAGAGACGTTGTATAAGCTGTTTCGAATTTTTGATTTAAAAATAAGATGTTAAGGCTTTACCCCTAGCGAACGACCTTGAGCGTTTGGCATGCCGACGCTCTCGCTATGCAATACATCGCGTAGAAATCTGCAAGACGCCACCTACTGGTACGAACGTAGTATTAATTTATCAATGACAATGAACTATTTTATGGAAATAAACACGGCAGACAATGATATGTTTATTTTAATTTTCTTTATTCTGTATATTAGTTGCATTATATTAGAATTATGTATTCTCATATATTATCTAATTAATAAAAATGACTATTTTGATTATTTTTAACTATATACTATACTGCTAATATTGAATTAGCTTTTTATAGAGTAAATTATAATATTTGTCGAAATGTTAATTATGGATTCGAACTTTACATGCTAATGGTGCTTTTTTGTTATTTTCATTTACTTACATATTGAAAATATACTTGAATAGTAGGTATTACTATTTTATTTAGCTACTGAATTTTAGGATATGTTTTACCTTGAGATCAAATATAATTTTGAGGAGTAATAGTTGTAACAATATTAGTAAATTGACTTTGAGGGAGATTTACTGTTTATAATGCTACATTTATTATTTTAATATTTACCTACTGGGTAGGTAATTATTAAAATAATAAATATAGCATTAGTAACTAAATAGATTTTTTTTAAATTTTTAAAATTAAAATTTTCGTATTTTTAAAAATTACTAAAAAAAAGGGTTTGAAATAATAGATATTCTCATAAAAGAAGGGAACTTAAAAAAAGGAAAATACAAGCGGGACCAAAGCCAAGACGCGAACCACGCAACTCCGATATCACGCCCGACCGACATATCACCTGAGCTATAACGATCGTTAGTGATTTGTTGAAATTTACCTTCTTATACTGTAGCAGCTTTTTTATTGTCTGAAAACATGGACAAAAGGACATTTTCTAAAAATAAATCCAAGCGTTCGTCGCTAAAATCGTTGGAGCCGTATAATTTTCTCATCTGGTTCGGTTCTATAGATATTTAAATATATAAAAATTATAAATTAAAATGAAAAGATAAATATACATAAATATCAATAAAATAAAATAAATACAAAATAATATTATATTATTACTGTTATTATTATTATTAGTACCCGGTTGACCGTGTGTTTTGGAAATTATATTTAGATACAAATTACATACTGATGAAATACGAATAATATTTTTTGATCTTAGCGACATAATAGAAAAAACTAAACTGGTTATTTGAATAAAAATCATGAGTGCAATTAGTTTAATTTAAATTTTCGTTTTTTTTAAAAAATACTAAAAAAAGGGCTCGAAAAAATAGATTTTCTCAAAAAAAGAAAGGAACTTGAAAATAAAATTAAAAAAAGTCGGTCGGTCGCTCTGGGCTCGAACCATGGTATTACGATTTAGTGACCGCCCAATATACCAATTAAGCTATTTGTAATCATTAATAACCTGTCAAAATTTACCTTCTTATTCTAACGATATTATAGCAGTTTTTCATTGCCTAAAAACACGGACAAAAAGACATTTTCTAAAAATAAATCCTAGCTAGATCGATTTATTGCCCCCCGAAACTCCCTGCACACAAAATTTTATGAAAATCGTTGGAGCCGTTTCCGAGATTCCGATTATATATATATATATATATATATATATATATATATATATATATATATATATATATATATATATATATATATATATAATATATCAAGAAAGGTATAGGATAAGTTGTGGTTCGGTGAAGCTGCAACCTAATGGACCATGATCTGAAATTTTTATGAAAAGAAGTGGCTGACGTCAATTATTATTATTCTTATTATTTTTTCATTACTGCCTTTTTCAACCTCACAAGATATTTGTAACTGCAAAAAAGAAAACTACGTATAAGTAAGTAAATCAGTAATATAGTGTTATGTGTGATTCAGACTAAATAAAGGTTCCTAAAAATAGACGTAGATAAAGAAATTGCATAAAAAAATTACTCAAATAAAAATGCAATAAACTTGTTATTTTATAGGTACTTAGTAAAATATTAAAATAATAAGTTTTTTAGGATATTTATGTAAAACATAAAGGTTATAATATTATGTTCTAACTACATTCACGCTTGCACATATAAAACCGCGGAATTTTACTAGTTTAATTATCAAAATAATAATTGACAACCCTACCCTAAGTTTGCCTT